CACTTTTTCAAGACACGCTTGCACTTCTTGGGAGCGCGAGCCTCCACCACCTCAGCATCAGGCTCGAGTGCCTTGGCCCTTTTGGCAGGCACCATCACCGGGCTTTCCTTGGAAGAGGATGCCCTCTCACGCTGGGAAGGCTCCAGCTCCTTCTTGCTCGAGGCTTTGGCCTTGGGTGCTTTCTTAGCGGAGGCTTTGGCCTTGGGTGCTTTCGTAGGCAACTCCTCTGAAGCCTGAGGGCCCTTCTTGCTCGAGGCTTTTGCCTTGGGTGCTTTCGTAGGCAACTCGTCCGAAACCTCAGGCACCTTCTTGCTTGAGGCTTTTGCCTTACCTTTGGCCTTGGCTGGCCTTCCCCTCTTCTTTCCATCCTCACCATCAGCGGACTTCCGGTCACTCTTCAAGGAAAGTTGCTCACCACGAGTAACGACCTGCGCGTGGGAAGGCTTTCAGGTGTTCTGTTAAGTGGAAACCAATCTGCAAACATGGGTGACACTTGCACACAAACACACAAGGCCTGCGGGGGGGAAAACTCCATGAACTTTGAGCTCACTAGTGGAGGTGACGGTGTGGGGTCGGTGACCGGCACAGGCAACTCGGATGTCGCCAGCATGGCACTGGGCTCAGAGCTGGGCTTATCGTGTGGCTTATGCTCATCAGGGAAGAGTTCACGAGCAACACTTTTCGGGGCTGGGGTCTCCAACAATCGCTTCTCCTCAGCAAGGATAGGATCCCACGCCATTTGGGTATCCACCACAAAGGCCTGGGTCTCCACATTGTCAACAGCCATTGACCCACCCTGTGAAGGCAGCACCTCATCATCTGAGTCCACAGTGAGGGGACCCTCAATGGCACGAGCCGCTGCTGCTCCTAGGATACACCATGGAAACATTCGTGCACTAGTGCGCACACAATAAAACAACAGGCCGAAAGGCTTGCAGTTGCAGCAGCTGCACGCTCTTGTCGAAGCCTCAAGGACACGAGCATCTCATATCATATGCACTTACACACACACACACACTCTCTTTCTACATGCAGCAAAAGGGCAGAAGCTGGGCTTGAAGCTTTGCCTTGCTAGCGGCTAGCCTCTGTTTCAGATCTTCACGTGATTCTCCCCCCATCAAAGGACCACGGCGCTGAAGCACGGACCTGTCCACTGCACGACCTGGCTGCTCCTCTTCGTCTGACAGCACACAGGCTGCTGTCCCGGGCCACTCGGCTTTGGGCTCACACACTGCTGTCCCACACGACTCGGCTTTGGGCTCACACACTGCTGTCCCACCTGACTTGGCTTTGGGCTCACCACACAATGCTGTCCCACCTGACTTGGCTTTGGGCTCCAACAATGCTGTCCCACACGACTCGGCTTTAAAGGGCTCACCACACACTGCTGTCCCACACGACTCGGCTTTGGGCTCACCGCACAATGCTGTCCCACACGACTCGGCTTTGGGCTCACCGCACAATGCTGTCCCACACGACTCGGCACTGGGCTCACCACGCAATGCTGTCCCACACGAAACGGCACTGGGCTCATCACACACTGTTGTCCTAGAAGACTCGGCACTGGGCTCACCACGCACTGCTGTCCCACAAGACTTGGCACTGGGCTCATCACACACTGCTGGCTCGGCTTTGGGCTCACCGCGTAATGCAGGTTCATGACTCAACAAATCCTGCTCAAGATCATCTTCCATCTCTGCCAGCATTGCCTGAAGGGTCATATCAGCATCCATCGGTGATGGCCCTGCCTCGAGCTCAGGCTCCTCTGCAATCTCACGCAATGCTGCGTCTCCATGAGAGCCTGCATCTTCAAGCCCCAGCATAATCGTTGAGGGACCTGAGTCATCAGAAACGAACGCCAAGGGCGGTGGCTCAGAGCCACCATCAGGCTCTGAGGACCCTGATTCTGGGTAGGCATCATCATCCGTAGCAGCATGGCCCACATCATCATCAGAAGCCATACGTCGGGGAATATTGATGCCTGCCTTAGTCAACACATGGGCACCAAGATTCTCACAGATGAGATTGTGGGACTGAAATGCACAACTCATCTTCAGAGAACATGCAAACGAGAAGCAGCCAAGGCTGCCCGGACAATGTTATCATACATGTCCACAAGCTCACGAACTCTGGGATCCTATCAGCACATACATACATGCATTAAGTCAGTTCTCTGAAATAAGAAGTATGTCATGCCACAGAGCACACAGCACACAGCACACACACACACACACCAACACAATACAATACAGACTTGGAGTCCTTGGGCTTCTCCAAGCGAGCCCACTTCCTTCGTAGCGTCGTGAGGCACCTTTTGATGCCCCAGGCATCTCTGACAGCAATGGCTCCAATCCGAGCTTTGTCAGGGTAGTGGGCGAGCTCCAAGAAGGCTGCGCATTGATCAGCAATCATGTCTACTGCATTAGTGTCGATTGTCATCGCCTCTAACATGAGGCGCACAATGACCTTGAGAACTTCACTGTTCTCCGCGCAATCCTTCAGCGTGCCCATGCATTGCAAACAGCCATCGGTCGTTGCCTTCATGAGGGCGTGACCCTTGGCACAGCGCTCCCGAAGCGAGCGCATCTCTTCCCATCTGGATGCTAGGCATGTCAGGTCTGCCAACCGCTTCACCATACTTGTCAATCAAAACTCCACCACAAAACAAAAGCCAAACAGCTGCACAGAGTTGTGTAGATCACACTCAGTATGTACATGTGCACAAGTGGAACTATGTGTGTGCGGGAGTGAAAGTGATTGAGTGTTTGCGCACAGAGGTAGGTAAAGGTGAGAGTGACTGATTGAGTAAGAGAGTGTGAATGAGTGAGTGAGTGACTGAGTGTGAGTTAGTGAGGGAGCGAGTCTGTAGGTGTGTGGATGAGTGAGAACCCTAAACCCTAAACCCTGAAACCCAGTCCCGCCTGGCACCCAAGGATATGGAATGGCACCACTGAAGCCACGCACCTGCCGGCAGGTTAGTTAGTTTAAATTAAGGGGTATAGATTCTATCAGGTTACCAGATCTGGGTTCGGCGTGCAAAAGCAAAGAATCCGAAATTAATGATGCATATAATCTATCTCAATTGAGCATGCAGTATTCCCCTGATCCTTCGAATGTTTATCCCAAGAACCTTAGATAGAAGAAATAGTTGCCACACAATTCAAAAACCCTAATTATCCCATCTGCCCGCCTCGATCGGCAAGAGCAGGGAGCCGTGGAGGGAGCAGCAAAGTAAGGCAGGCCACCGGCCCATGTACGAAACCTTGTCCTAAAGCTAAGCTGCATTAAAAGCTTATCACACAGATGCTCAGCTTTCTGCTCTGGCTGCAGAGTGTCACTGGATTCGTGCTTGCATCATGGAAAGGAGATTGCACACGGCCCATGAGCCCCTCGATCCTAATAGATCTGGACTAAGACTCCCATCAGCAGACCATCAATCCCTGCAAGCCTGAATGGCACAAGGTTTAACACCGAACCCTGAAATACGGGCGTGGCTTTGACAGAAACCAGTTATTCCTCAGAAACCAGTTATTCTGAAACGACGCTTAATTTACAGGCGTTCACGGCCACAGGTATATATATA